CGGCTCAGCCTCCGTGTCAACTATGACAGGCTCCGCTGGTGTCCCATGCCCCAGATGGGCTGTGGCCTCAGCCTTGCGCAGAATGGTAACAAAAAGAGAAGGGTTAAACAGGCCGCTGAAGGACGGCCCTTGAGGTGAGGTGTCCTCCTCTTCCTCAGACATTTGAATCCCTTGTGACGTACCTGGCTGGTCCAGGTAATCTTCCTCGGAGACCGACGAGTCTGAGAAGGAGGAGAGGTCCTGATGGTCCTCTGTTTCCTCCCGATGCCTCATTCTAAGTCCTAGAGGCTTGGTTTTGGAAGTTTGAGCCCTGGCCTCAAATGCACGGTCCACTGCCTGCACTATTAGGGTAGCTAACAGATCCCCCGTCAATGCAGGAGGAGTAACCATTGCCTGCGACCCTGCAGGTGCTGTGGTTAGCATGGCCCTCGGGTTTTCCTGTAACCTCCGTGGGGAGGTGGATCGGGAGAGCGATGAGAATTCGCCTATCCCACCCTCTGTTTGGGACTGTGATGAGTTCCCTAGTGACCAAATGGCCTGTGGGGATGAAGGGAGACCCAGCGGTAGATCAGGACCTATCCCCCCATTCTGCCTATTTTCAATTCTGGCCCTTTTCTGGGCTCTGTCGAACTCTTTTTCTAGGGCTTGGTGTCTTCTGATTGCCTGTTTGTCAGCCTTCTTTGATGACTTCCTTGCAGCCTTTCTAGGGGCTGCAGAGGATTCCGAATCCTCTGAAGCAGGTGCTCCAGAGGATGAAGGCGGGGCTCCAGTGGAGGGAATGATTGCTTCCTCCATTCTCCACTAACGCTGGGCCGCGATAGGGGGGACCCAGGTAGTAGGAGAGCTCCAACTTTGAGTAAGGACAGGCGCACTACTGGGGGCGTCTGGAACTCAGGAGCAGACTCTGCAAAATTGTCAGAGTTAGTCACTGTGCACGGATAAGAACAGGCACGCTAATGGGAATGCCTGGAACCCGGCTTGACTATGGTGGGTAAGGACAGGCACGCGACTGGGGATGCCTGGAACCCACCACTAAATCCAGAAGCGTACGGGCCACTAATGGGGGACCCAAAGTCCGGAAGGAGCCAAAGGCAACTAAACACAGTTAGCTATGAAAGGTTCTTATTTACTTTAGATTGAAGACACCAAGTCCTGGAACCCGCAGCTATGTGTCTGATTTGAATGTCTCTGAATGAATAATAGATGCTTTAGTACCCCAGTACTGCTTGCCTATTAATTCACTCCAGCGGCTGAACCTATTCTTCACATGGAGCTTAGCTCCCCTGTTTGGACAAAAATATGGCCACCGCTGCCAGGAGACTACTGCGCATGTGTTAAAAAGGCTGCCTGTGCCACGTGCGGTTGTAACAAAGAGCCGCGCGTGCTCACAGCTGTGCAGACAATGGCGCCTCGTTTAAAAAATCCTGAGCAGCCTGGTTAGTGAAAGAAACTGCTCCTTCGCACGCCAGCTGTTTCCCTTAATTAATCTCCCTCCCAGCATGCGTCCCCTTTGTCCTCCGCTTCCCTCGCTAATTGCTTGCCTTTCTGTCTTTTTGTTTTGTTTGTTTTAAACGCGAGGGGTTGCCCGAGCCTCCCCGTTTGTTTAAGGCTGCTGCCGGCTGCTGGAAGGTGGTTGGGGTTTGGGTTAGGGAGGGGAGATAGGGATTTCCCCCTTTTAAGTGGGGGTGGTTTCCCCTGTAGGGAATGTGACTTCCTGAGTCTTACAATTTAGCTAGGCAATTTTGAGTAATCAATTACATTGAATAAATTATCTCTAATTAACTTTTAAACTAAGCAATTTCAGCTACTAGAAGAAATCCCCCCCAATGGAAAGGAACTATACCTGCCCAGGAGCCAAAGATTGTCGGTCTTTCTGTATGGCCAGATCAGTCAAGACTGAAGAATCATGGTACAGGACTGGGCGTGGCAACTTTGGCTGACTGATCTGATTGGCCAGGAATACAGTCTCAACCCACTGCGTGGATTATCCATCTCCAGTGCTGGAGAATCTAACAGAGCAATTCTAGTATCTTTGCTGGATGTTGAGCTTTTCTATGACTCTCACCTTGCCATTCTATCATGCTACCTTGTAATAGCTCGTAACTCCTTGTATTGTGTGTTTAGATTGTAAATGCAATGACAAAGACTTATAGATATTCACTAACTGCTTCAGGATCCTTTGAGGCCAATTTTGCTAGAAACCAAGTCCTTAAACTAATTATTTATTTAGCATACAATGAGCACATGACAGAAGAGAAGTAAACCTATACACACAATGCATAAACTAATTCTGACATACAAGCCTGTTGAAATTTGCTGGTTAAATATTCTACGTTTTAACTGGTTTAGGTGGCAGGTGATCATGTGCACCAATCCCACTATGTGATAAAACAATGATTTGTTGATTAGGCCAAGTGAACAGTTCTTCAAATACCAAGTGTGATTGCATCTCCAAGTCACCAACCAATGAACATAATGGCTTAGTCCATGGGTGTCAAACTGCCAGCCTGCCTTTCAATAACTTTAAACATGACAAAATTGGAATCAAACCCTGTGATACTGGTTTGTACACCTCATTCTATTGCCTACTTAAAACAAGAAAACAAGAGAGGTTGATTTTGTGGCGGTAATGACTGGCCAGTGGAGTGATTAAATAGCAAGGATATTATTCTTTTCTGGATTAAAAAAAAAAAGATTGGAATCTTATGGCAATTTAAAAGTTTATTTATTCTGGCAGATGTACTTGGATAATATTCTCCTTCAAGTGCTTGCTTATCTTAGCTATGACTGTAGCTATTTGTTATAGTTGCAAATGTTATGTATGTATGTATGTATGTATGTATGTATGTATGTATGTATGTATACAAATAATGTGGAAATCCCAATTCATACAACCTGAATAACATCCTTATCCAAACATTCTGCCCAAGGGTAACCCCAACGTCAGAGGAAAACTGAAGGAAGTAGTGTTGGGAAAATGGTCCAAACAAGAATGAGACAATTTTAGAAGACCACATCACACTCTCAATCCCAGATGATACACACGGAACATTTGTGTTGGGGGAGGAGCATTAGATCTCCTATACATCTGATAGGAACCGTGTACACTGGGAGTTCAGGAGACATGCAAATATAGTTAATTGGATAAAGGGCTAAGGAGATAGAAAAATCTAAAAAGAGGAGGAGGAGTATGCTAGTACATAAGTAAACTGCACAGTACATTTGATCTCTCTTCTAAAATTTCATGTTGAATAAGCATCATGGCTAGAAAAGAAAAAAAGAATCCATGTGTGTCTTTCCTATAGTGCCACAGCAAATGCCATAGTCTTCTTCCATCATATTTTATACCTTTTGTTTAAAAACTAAGTGTAATTGATTGTCCACTGGTGTCTGGGTTTAGCTTTTTTCCATTCTTCATTCTACCATCTCCCTTCAATTAAAAAGGGAGAAAACAGCTAAGTGTTTTTGGATGGCTAGTAGGAAAGCAGTGTGTAAAAACATAATACCATTTTCCTAGGGGGAAAAAAGGAAATGAATGCTGTCCTGAAGCATTTACACTCATGAGAATGTTTAAAAACCATTGGGCCTGTTTTGCTGTTTTGCTCCAATGGGTGGAAATGTTTGGAATAGGGGACTGTTGTCATTTTTTTTTTTTTTTGGCAATGTTAGATATGAGTGAATGTTGGATGTGAATGAATTCATATGGATTTGCATCCAGGAGAATGCAGCAAATATTTAGACTGCAATCGGATATGATGGGTTTTCTGTTATCTGGGCACTTGTATAAATGATTATGGTGATTAGCTAGCAGAGTCAGACAGAAGCAGAAGAAAGGCAGCAGATAAATAACAGAGTACAGAATATGCTCAAGCTCTTTTTCAAATCTGAATTTTGTTAGATGGAACATAGCAGCCAACCAAACTTCTGCAAAAAAAAAAAAAAAACCTTTCATCATATGATACCCTGCTGGCTCCACCACTTCAATATTACAGCTGCCTTCTCCCCCACCCTTTACTGTTTAGCCTTGAAAAGACACAATTTAAAGGTAAAAGGAAACAGGATGGCAAACTTCCCATTTAATGAGCAGATCTGGGTTTTTTTTTTCTTGTTCCAAAAAGCAAGGCCCAAACCCAGGGGTTTAATTTCCTAAAAAAGGGGGGGTTTAATGAAAGACTAATCAGCACTTCCTGCAGCACTTTCCATTTGATCCTGGAATAGAGAAAAGCTGCTTTAAACTTTTGGTCCAGCTGGCCCACTATTGTCTACCAATTGATTGGTGTTGATTTTCCAAGATTCTAGGAGAAAGTTTTTTCGAGTCAGGATGGAGCATACAACCCATCTCCATACAAACTGTGGGTTTAATGACTCAGCTGTGGAGTTCCCATGCTAAACCTGGTATTAAGCAGAGGCTGGGCAACTATGAATCAATCCTGGGTAATAAAAGATGTTTTTTTTATCAAAAGATTGAATTAGATGCCCTCAGATCTATGACTCTGCAGATGTACAAATTCTATTATTTCTCCTGTAACTAGATAGGCTTAAGCAAGAGGTACTTCAATCACCCTCTAGTTATAGCAGATCCAGGTAAAATGTGTGTTAAACAGCATCAGAGCAATCAAAGAACTAAAGGAAAACATTTAGCTTCAGCAAATATATTATAGTTATCACATTGACTAGCTTACTAAATAACAGCTAGCCTGCCTCAAATCTCCAGGGGAGATATATTTCACAATCTATGATAAAAATGGGAGACTGGCAAGGGATTCCACCTCTTCCATAAAGCAAGGCAGGGAAGATAAAACTGCTTAGCAATACAGGAATAGGAGAAACTCTAAGATACACAATACCTTTGAATGATCGGTTCCCCAAATGTAAACAAAAAAAATGAACATGTGATGCCAATCAGAAAATGAACAAATGCTGTTATTCTTCCTTGAAATTGATTCATGCTGTGATTAACACTTTTGAAGAGGTTCTCAGAAACAGAACAAGAAACTTACCATGTAAACAGCAAATTAAGAATTTCAAGAACCCTGCTCCTTAGCTCCTGCATCCATACTTCAGAAGTCCTTCTGCAGCTGTTGTATCTGAAAACAGCATAGACGTGAAGGATAAATAGGGAGAAATCGTTAAAGGAGATACCAGGAAATCCCCATGTCCTACAATGAGGGACTTTTAAGGTTCAATTATCTTAGTCCTGGGGAGGGGGATCACACTGAAGTTTATGATGGTAAGGACATGACTGAAGGAAAACCAGAGGATATGTTAGCAGGATGCAGCAGTTTAAATTAGTTTTAATGTGGTTTTTGGGTGGCTTCTTTTTGTACACTATGCCTTTTAAACTATTTTTTTTTAAAAGGCTTGAGAACGCACAAAAATAGGCAGGGGAGCAAAATGCTCTCCTGCATTAACAGATGAAACTAATCAAAGCTCATTGAGCACTGGAACATCTGGAAGACAGAGAAGTAATTCTGGATGCTGTAAGAATATGCTGTTTCTGCATCCTTAGGGTGCTAATTTAAGAGAAGGAAATTTTGAAAAACATTCCAGCCCAACAGTACAAGGAAATATGAATGCCACCCCTTTGAATGGGCAAACTTTTAAGATTTATATGAACTTTTCAATCATTAAAATGGCTGCACCATTTTAAGCACAGTGAAGAGACAAGTAGCCCGGTTTGCCTCAGCCACAATAGAAATATATAGAACATATTAGCAAATACATAACACCTTCTGTCATTTAACTTGCAAAAGATTGGTGTTTGCTTCCTCACAACTACATTTGGCCTCCCTCTTTCCTTGTTTGTACTACATGTGCTTCCAAAGCTAACTCTAGTTGGCACAAAGTTTACATGAACCAGCTTTTGGGCGGTGTACAAACTGTACTTGAGAACAAAGCCATCAGAACAGAGCAGAAATCTGCTCTGCTCTTTCTATTTCTTCACTATTTATGTATTTCCTGGAGGAGGGAGTACATTTGTTTTTTTATTGTGGGTTGGCTTAAATAGGCAGAAATACCTGTTTATATAAAAAACAGAACTAAGTTTTTAAAAGCCACCGCTTTCAGTAGAGAGTAGCTTTTCCCAGTTTTTCCTACACTAAAAAGAAATATTAAAAAAATATTTGTACAGTATGCCACCATTTCCAGTGCTTTAGACAAAATGTCCAGAGATTACTCATCAGTTTATGTAGTCCTTCTCAACCCGATACCCTTCAAATGTACCATGAAAGCAATATTCAGAGTTCCCAGCAAGCTCTCCATCATCCAATCTTCCATTCTGAGATTAATAGTAAGACTAGTAAGATTTATATTTATGGCAAATGCCATAAATATAATTTTATATTTATGGCAATAACCTTATTTCATAAGATCTTCAATACCAGCATTTTGTTCAGTCATCTGAAAGTGGAGTGAAGTTCCCCTCTGCAACTCTGTTTTAACATGTGATAAGAGTACTGATTGAGAAGGGAGGTGCAAACATTGTGAATGTTAACTGTTTCGAATGTGAAAGATCCCATATCAAGCTCAGAACACGTTTTTGAGCCAAAAATACTTCCCAAATAGTTGAAATGGCCCGTTTCATGCTTGACATAGCTGTTTCATGCTCAAGAAGGGCATTTCCAACTTGAAACGGAGTTTTTAGCATTCCAAATGGTTTGAATCAAAAACTTTTCATCACTTTTATGACTTGGCTACTTGTTTGTCTATATGAGAAATCCAAAACAGGCGACATCAAAGGAGAAAGGTATTTTCTTGAGGTAGAGCAGCTTCCCTAGAGCGATGTGTCCAGAAGGGCAGAAAGAAAGGACACAATTTGCAAAAAGCAAACTCTCAACCTTCTTAGCCACCAGAACTGAGGATATTAAAGCTCCTAACATTTCTAGAGGCACCAAAAAGCTATTTTTTTAAAGAAATAGTTCACCCCCTCCTTTTCTCCATCATTACTCAGCCTGATCTTCAAAATTCTATTTCACGTGTTTTAAACGAATGCCAAAGATAGAAATTTTCTACTTTTTTTTTTTTGCAACAGTTCTTATCTGAGTTTGTGAAAGAGGATTTGTTCAGAAATGCATTCAAATTCTTATCCTCAGTTAATTCTAAGGTTCCAACTGATGTGTGTTTATGTGAATTGTACAATCTCTCCAATATTCAGCAGGCTTCCTGTTTTCTTGGACTTTAATTAAATTGCAAGACCTCATCAGGGAATTTCTCCCTACGTTTCTTTTTTCTTTTTTAAATGGTGCTACCTCCGGTGTCTCAACCTCAACGGGACTCCTCTAAGTGAGAAACACAAGCTTTAAAGGCATTAGAGCAGTGGTTCTCAATCTTTTTAATGCCGCGACCCCCAACCGGTCGTAAGTCGAGGACTACTCAACTGGTGCAGCACCATTTGCAGAATGGGACTTTTGGTGGGCTCAGCAGGGCAGAGACAGTCTGGACAATTCCTATTGGCTTTTGAAAGCCAATAGAATTAGACTCTATTCAAGAGAGTCTATTCTATTGGCTTTCAAAAGCCAATAGAATAAAAGGGAGTAGCACAGCTAAGGAAAAGGGGGAAAAAATGGCGGACTGCGTTGTTTGGCGACCCCCGTGAAATGGTCGTTCGACCCCAAATGGGGTCCCGACCCACAGGTTGAGAACCACTGCATTAGAGGTACAGCACCTTGAACTGCATTCGGAAACAAATTTGTAACCAATGCAACTCCAGTAGCAGCACGGCATTATAGTCATACCACAAGCTATTCAGCAGCTATATTTTGCAACAGCTGAAGTTTCTGGGTGATGTTCAAGGGCCCTCCTTTCTAGGGCAGATTATAATAATCCAAGTGGAGGCAACAGCATGAATGGCTGCCTTTATTCCATTCTAAGAATGGCCAAAACTGGCAACCCAGTCAAAGATGGGGAAAAGTCTTCTTGTCCAAGGCTTCCATCTGCTCTTCCAGTAGGAGACACAAGTCTAGGTGGATTCCCAGTTGGTGGATGTGATCTTTGAGGGGGAACACAACCTCAAAATTGGTGTAATTACACGCTCAAGAGATTTCTGAATTAGCATCTTTCCATCTCATCTAGATTGTATCTGAGCCAATTTCTCCCCATCCAGACCCCGATAGCTTCCAGGCACTAAGTCAGAACATCTCCCGCATTTCTATTTGGCCCAGATTGGAGACATACAACTATGTACCACCAGTGTAGGGTTACTATGTCATCTCAAACTGACAAATTAGCTCACTTAGTGGCACCAGGCTGATATTAAATAAAATAGAGTTGAAGGCTAAGCCCTACAGCAACCCGTACTTCAATGTCTGACCTCTGTTCCTTCATAACCATTGACAGGCTCACTCACTTGGGAAGGAGTGTAACCACCACAAATATGGTCTCCACCAGTCTTAACCCATGTGGGCAATCCAGAAGGAGAGACTATAGCTGACAATATCAAATGATGCTAAGAGATCTGGTAACACAAGAAAGATCACATTCTTCTCACCCAAGTTCCCATAAAACTTATCCAGAAGAGTGACTAAAATAGTTTCTGTCCAATGCCCAGGGTTAAGGTTAAGACAGGTGATTCAGTCAAGAGATTTACAGAGAAGAGAGAATGAATTTATTCTCTTTTGCCTCAGAGGTAAGAGCCAGTGGCTTACAACTGCAAAGAAGGGGATTCTGGTTAGACATCAGGAGGAACTTCCTAACTGACCTGTTAGCCAACAGAATAGTCTGCCACATGAAATGGCAAATTCTCCTTCACCATACTTGTTCAAAGATTCTTGAGGGCCATTAATAGACCCTGCAAAGAAAAGCTAGTTGGACCATCAGAACAGTTACTGCCTGATTTAGGAAAGACTTCTGTCTGTGTGCATCTTGTGGGCAGGGGGAGGAAAACAAGATACATATTCTGAACTCTCATTGGCTTGAGTATTTGATTTATTAAAAGGGCTTCCTGGACAATGAATGCTTCTGGAAGGCAACAAATAATGTGTGATTGCTTCCTCTCCTTCATGATTTCCATTTGCAATGCCCTTACAAACCCAAGCCATCTGTCTGGTTGTCCAATAAAATTTCTGCAGCCTCTAGTGATTCGGACAAGAGGCAGGGAGAACTTGATAGAGGAGGGAAGATCAAGAGGACAAATTCCCCTATTGTCTCTTAGCTCCTTGGATTGATTGAAAGACATCATACCACTCAAAAGAGAATTCTGAAATTGTGGGCATCTTGCTAGAAGGCTGAAGAGGGAAGAGAAAGTATCAGCCATTCCTGCCATTTTGACCATAGAGAAAGAGAAGATCATTGTCACAGAGATGGAGGAGGGGAGGAAGTGGCTTCTCCTGCCACTTTCCTGAGTCAGAAGAGATAGGTCCTTCCAGATGCAGAGAGAAATGGAGGGTAGGGTAGCATGGGAGCTAGATTTGAGAACTAGAGAGTCAGAGCTTCTCAGAGAAGAAATATGAGTTGTAAAAACAAGCAAGAGCCATCCTTTCCTAGCTTGAAAAGTGTAAGGTTAAATATCTGTTAAACCATTACCACAACAAATGCCACAATTAACTGTCATGGGTACAAGAAAGCTCCCACGTTCATGCTGACAAAGGGCAATCAATTGCTGAAAACAGCTTCATCCTCACAGACAACCTTCTCTAATCATGACATGACAAGTATCTGGGAAACTTCTCCCAAGTATGAACACGAGGGGCTGACAACATTGTCAGAAGCACCAAGTATAATTTACTATAGGGTGGGTGTGAACATGCTATTGTCCATTCCCAAGCCTCCCTAATCAAGAAGCTTGACAGATCTTCCCATGGAATTTCTCAGAATTCTGGCTGTTGAATTATGCTGCTATCTTATCCTGGTTTTCATGGAGTAGATACATGACTGAGAATGCAAAACTGAGCTGGAAAATAACTCTTCATTGGAACATCTTATGTAACTGAACACGTGGGGAGGGTGAGGGTGGAGGGGGACAAACTGGTGACATTTGCCAATCTGTCATGTTATCACTCAGAACAGAAATAGTCAATGGGCTATGCCAGAAATATTTTTGTTACTCAGGGAGAAAGACGTTTATTTTGTGAAACAGTTCACTCGGACATGT